GTATACACGTCTTTATTTGTCTAGCCATCGGGCTGGAATTTCTAGCAGGAGCTCCTTGCCATGCACAAAGCTTCCGCTCAACATGATGAGGTACTGCGGATTTGTGCCCCAACGAGGGTGCGCGATTTAAATTCCCACCAGGGTCCGTGCTGACACCCAGCCCGGCCGACTGACTGTCTGCTGGGTATGAAACGGGATCAAAATTGGATTCTAACCTGCATTTCCTCTTCCCTGACAGGACGACCGTCTTTCACGGGGGACCATTCATGTCTCGCCTTATCTTTTGTTCTTAGTACATTGAGTGTATTTCTCTTTTCTTTTTTTAAGTTCCTATGGTCAAGAATGGGTTGGATTTTTTTTCTCCCAGTTCATGACTTGCCTTTATAGTCTCTGTATTGTGTCTTTTGTGAAATAGAAATTCTTTTTCTTAACGGAGTTGCATGGGTCTTTTATTTCCTTCAGGATTTACACTTCTTACACATTTTTTTTCCACTTCAAGTTCATAAAAACGTTATTTAAGGCATCCTCTAAAACCTTAGCTTTCCACATCTATGTCTTTATTTTGGCTGGGATTATGTCTCCTGCTATAAGAAAGAGGGTCAGGGACCCGTGGCAGTGGGCTGGGGGTCTCTCTTCCTCGCTCATCTGAGATGCCCCCTCCCCTTTCTCTGCAGACCACCGCATAGCCCCTACTTCTGGACCCAATGTCTGCGTAACGAGGTCTCGCTTCTCCTCCCTGGCCTCTCCGTTTTAGATGCCTCCTATCAACTTCCTCTGTAACCCGGACTCAGATTCTGGCTGTGATGTGCACCCTCTGCTCCGTCTCCGAGGACTTGGGATCATGTGGACATTTTCGCCCCTTTTCTAGGGGTGGGAATTCCTAATAGTTGATGGTTAGCTCTTCTTGTATATCCTAGAATTTTCTTATCTCCTCTCTCTATTCTAGAAGATTTTCTCAAAACTCCTGCCTGACCCCTCTAATAAGTCTATTAATAAGGGCCCTTTATTTTCAATTTCCAGGAGCCGCTTTGTTTCCTCACTGTTCCTGTTCTCCAGTGTCCAGTTCTTGTCGTGGTCACACTGCATCCCAGTCAGAGGTACGGGCTGGGGGCTGATAAAGTGATCCAGCTGGGGGACCCGGGGAATTCAGGGGAATAAACAGCCCAGAGCCACTCTGGCCCATAAAATATAATGTGACCCAATTATGTCATTTTACGTTTTCTAATAGACACAGTTTAAAAAGAGAAAGGTTGGCATCAATTCAATAATGCATTTTCTGTAAACCAATATAACCAACACATGTGTTTCAACACACGGATATAAAAACTTATCAGTGAGATATTTCACACTTTGTGGTGTGTCTTCCCCATTTGGTATGTGTTTGACACTTAAGCACATTCAGACATTTCAAGTCCTCAAGAGCTATGGTGCTGGCTGTGCTAGACAGAGCGGGTCCATGGGAGCTGGACAGAGCCTGCAGGCTCGTTTCAAAGCCACGCTGAGTCCCCCAGGAACGTTCTCCAGTCTTTCTGGAATCTTCCCCCTGCACTCTGGCCGCCCTCCCGGCCCCTGGCGCCGTCCCAGGTCCCTGTCAGCAGGGCCTTGCTAGCCCCCACCCTCTTCTGAATTAGTCTCCCTCTTGGACATCACCCCCTCTTGGACATCATTTGTGGTCCTGCATCTGCGCTGGGTTTAAACCCTTTGAAAGCGCTGGTTCTCCAGGGCTCACCCTGTCTGTCCACCAGGTCTGGTTCTCTGACTGTCACCCTTGGGCTGCATGTAAGACCCAGCTTGGCCACAACAACCAGCCTTGACACCCGGGCTGTGCCCCGCCGTTCACTCTCGCAATCTGGCTGGAGATGCTACACCCGAAGGTTTCAGGAAAGGCTGGAAGGGGTTCATGCCTGATACCCCGAGTCCCAGACACGGCAGGCAACCTGTTTATGCTCTAACTCCGGGTGGGGTGTGACTGACTTCAGAACCCTGGTGGCCTTGGGGCTGCTTGGTGGAGATAAGGCAGAGCCAGGAGGAACGCAGCAGGGCCAGCAGGGGGCAGAAGTGGAGCCCCGGTGCGGCCAGAGGAGTGGACTGAGGCCCAGGGAGGAAGGAGGCCCAGGAGGCCCCGCCCACCCGAGCCCTGAGGGATGGGGCCGGCAGGTGTGCCTGCTGACTCAGCCCTGCGCCCAGGCTGCCCTCCCGATGACTTAGAGCTCACACAATAGCCCCATTGTGTCACTGCCTTTAGCTGCAGCTTCAGTTGCTACCCAGGGACTCAGCCCAGGGACCTCCAGGGACAGAGAGGAACAGTCATGAGAGAGGTCTTTGTGTTAAGACTGTCCTGCAGGAAGGAGCCGGGGTCACGGAGAGCGCGGCTGGCCCCCGAGAGAGGGGGGCCGGTTTCACAACTTGCGTGGACGGCTGGCCTGTGCGGGTGTGGCACGGCTGTGCATTTCAATGGCTTTTCAGACAAAGGACCTTGAAAGTCTGAAGCCTCAGAGAGGTCAGCAAGGTCTCAGCATTCTGTGATGGTTTTTAACCAAGTGAAGGATTTGAACGCATTTCTGTTTTTGCATTGTCATCACATGCAATGACGTGCTTGAGACTCTCAACAAAACTCAGGGGCAGCTTAGAGCAGAGAGGCAAGTTTAAACCCATTTTTTAAAATTTATTGTTTTTTTAATTGAAGTACAGTTGATTTACAATGTTGTGTTAGTTTCTGTTGTGCAGCAGAGTGATTCAGTTATACGTATGTATACACATCCCTTTTCATATTAAACCCGTTTCTGCAGAGGTGACATTTCTGGACACAACTACTCGCACTACTGGACCATGGGTGTCCTGTCACTACACCCTGTGTATCTAACTTCTTCTAGTGGGGGCGCTGGGGATTGAACCCAGGACCTCGTGCATGCTGAGTGCACGCTCCACCACTGAGCTGCACCCCAGCCCTATACTCTGTTCCGACACAACACAGGAGGCACGGGCGTGTCCCTGTGGCACGGGACACCCATTCACCTCTGTGATGAATGAACATCTATTCGGACGTCCACATTCTGGTCGGGCAAATATGTTCATTGGTTTCATTACTTCAACAGCACCTGGGGCAGGTGTTAGAGCGGAAATGATATAAATTACACTCGTCACATACTAACAGACGAATCTTCCTGGACTCCAGTGAGAAAGTGGCCAAAACCAGACCTGTATTTATTGAAAAGCAGTATTTTAAAATAATGCTTCCAAGCTTTTTCATTCTTTCACTCTGAACTTTGGTCTTAAATTATTCTGGCGTTCTGCCACTAGGCAGGAGAGAGGGTAGAAAAGTAAATTGTAAATCAGTTAGTATGCAGAAGCCGAAGACAAAACTGTACTGGCGCCAAAAATGCTTCGTTTGGAAATGTCAGAGTTTGAAGAGACATAAAGGTTCTAATTATGATTCAAGACTTTAATTTGTGATGCGCTTTGGGAGAGAAGATGGACACGTTCACCCCCTAGAAACAGGATGGGATGGCATTTGGAATAGCCACTGTGAAGAGCTGGGTGGCTAAACACTGTAATTCACAGGCTGTTTACAGAAAATGAAGGCACATCTAATGCAAACAATTGCAGAGTTGCACAATTACAAAAACTCTGACCTTTATTGTCCTCTGCTGTCTGTGCAAAGACGCAAAGGAACAGCAAAACGAGATCCGTCCGGGAAATCTCTGGATGGGCAGGAAGGTGATGGCAGAAGGGTCACCTGGACAGAGCATTGCTGGGGCAGACTCCAAATCACACAGGGACCCTGTCTTCACATCCCTCTGCATCCCCCACTCTATCAACGGGTTCCTACTGGGACCATCAGTCCACACGCCACCGGTCCACCTGGTGCCGGGACGTCCTAGCGTGCAGAACCTTCATGAACACTGGTCTTGATCTACCCCACGGTGGCTTGAGAGAAGATTAAAAATAATTGTCAATTACAACTACAAGTCTTAAAGAAGTTCCCGAAGCCAAAGTGTGTTTGTAGTGTGCCCTTTAATTACTTCTCCCTTAATTGCTGGATGTAACTCAGGGATTCAGCTGTCCAGGAGCTCACAGTCTGGAGGGATCCTTGCACAAGGTCAACATGGAACACACAGCAGGGAGATCTGAGAGTCGGGAGGAAGTGTGAGTCCCGGGACAAGGTCCAGAATCTACGTGTTCTGTCTAAGGTCACGACCTGCCTCACTCCCCTGCAGGTCTATTATGTACCTGGGTGCCCCCAACCTCAGGTACCAGACACCAAACTTCTCTTTTATCATCAGACTTCTTCTTTATATCAAAAGCAACAACTAAAGATAAATGAACTCAACTGATGAAGTGCAGACTCTCACAAAACACCTTATTTCTCCTGGGAGCCTCCAGAGGCCAGGGTCAGAGGGCGTGGCCCTGAAGCCAGGCCTCTGGGTTGGCCACCTGCTCCGAGATGCACCAGCCACGTGCCCCCATGCTTTACTGGGTGCCTCTCCTCCGCCATCTGTGTGACAGGGACAAGAGCAGGACCCAGCTCAGGGACTTGTGACGAGAACACTGTGTCCGGCTGGAGGAATGCTGTGATTGGCCCGCGGGGCCACCAGCGTCGTGCTCTGCGGCATTGTATCCCGGTGCTGGGCACGCGCGGTGCTCGGTGAGCGGTAAACACTTCCTGGGCGTGTGGAAGGCAGGCAGGAGCAGAGAGAGGAGGGAAGGCCAGCTGACAACCATTTGGGGAAATGATTTTTAAAGGATAATTTCCAAAGAGTAAAGTTAAGACCAAGCTTGAGATTCTGGTTTCTCTTGGAGTTGCACTAATTAACATTTATTATTTCAAGGTACAAAAATGCAGTGGTAGAAAAAGAAAACACACAAGGAATTTGTTAAAACTCCCCTCAAAAAATGCAACCCCCTCCCTCCCTTAGGCACTGAGTCTTCGGGACAAGCTGTACTAACTCCTCTCCCATCACTGAGTCAGAGCTTCGCCAGAGATGAACACACACAGCATCTTGTCTTAATACTTTTTTTTATTACAATATCCAAAAAACTGAGTATGCAAGTTTAGGGGGTCTTAAGACCCCTTCCTCAATTGTAGGAATGCGCCATCTCAAGACTGTGTATTTAAACTATAAAGGAGTTCAAATGTAAAGAAGAAAGAAAATGCGTTTTCTTCATAAACATTCTGTGTCTTACTACCCATCACATATTCTTTTGTAAACCCTGAAAAATTTCCCTGTAAAGCAAATAATATATATTTTATTATATATATATATAGTGTGTGTGTGTGTGTGTGTGTGCACGAAGTGTTGGTCGCTCCCCTTCCCCAAAGATCAGCTGTTTTCCTTAATCATCTGTATTAGTGTCAACAAATGGCTACAGATACGTATCACTTTGAGAATTAAATACATAGTTGTGAAATCGAAACAGAGCCGCAGGGCTGGAGGAAAAAGCACTGGCAGACGGCACACCTGGGGGCACATTTCCAAAGCCTCTGTCTCTCCAAGTCTCCGGCCCCTCTCCTGCAGACCGACCTTCAAGGACATCTTTTCTTTATTGCAAGCACAGCCCCAAAGGCACTGGACAGCATCCTCCCTCCTGTCTCACCCGGCGGTTCCGGTATTGCCACGAGCACACGGCCCCGACCCCCACGCCCGGAGAGTCTGGGGCCGTGTATGCGCCAAGGACGTGGGCCCGGGGCTGCCAGGACCAGGGCCAGGACCCTTGCCGGTGCCGCCCAGAGCCCCGGCACCACTCTCGAAGGTGCTGTAGTTCACTGAATTAACGGCAGCTTCGGTGCATTCAAACCGCGCCTGGTGTCTCCTTTACGAGGGGTCTGTTGGCCTGAGCGGTTTGAACAGACTAAGGCTGTTTCCCAAGGAGAAGGAATAAAGTGGACACACTCGCCCCTCTTCCACCGCCCCGTCTCCTAAACTGGCCGGCGGGGCCTGGGATGGCGAGGGGGCGGGCAGAAAGGAGCACCGGGCGGAGGGAGCAGTACCATGGACAGGGCCCGGGCTGCAGGTCACCCGCGAGGGCACGCAGGCCACGGAGGTCACTGCAGGGCTCTGACGAGGTAGAGCTTCTCCCCGTGCTCGCTGGTGAAGATGGGGGCCTTTTTGTAGTGTTCCACCAGCTCGTCCATGCTGTGAAACCGCCGCTGCCCGATGCAGTAGACATTGTCCACCAGCTGCACCTTGAAGTGTTTGTTCTTCCCTGATGCTTTGAGAGACACGGAGAAGTCACTGGGCTGCGGAGGGAAAGGGAACAGGGGTTACGACTGGACACGCGGCGCCTGCTGTCCAGGGCGACCCGGGGGCAGCCCGAGATGCAGATGCTCTGGAGCGAAGGACACTGGAATTTGGTTAGGACGGTTCTGGTGCTAAACGCATTTTAGTCACGTGAAGATGGGGAGACTCATTATGGAAGGCACGGCAACCGTGTTAACCTGAGTTTTTCTTTTCTTTAGCTGTTTCTGGAATTTTTAAAAAGTGGTCTGCATACAGGCAGCAGCTAGAAATCCCACTTCCTCTGACTTCTACCGCTATTCGAAGTTCAGCCAACAGCGTGGTCCTGGCAAAAAATACACAGACTCACGGAGGACAGAGAGCCCAGAAATAAACCCACGCACTCATGGTCAATTAATCTACCACAAAGGAGGCAAACTATATGACAGAAAAGACAGTCTCTTCAATAAGTGGTGCTGGGAAAGCTGGACAGCTACATGTGAAAGGCTGAAATTAAAACATTCTCTAACACCATGTACAAAAATAGACTCACACGGTAAAGACCAAAACGTTAAGACCCCAAATCATACAACTCCTAGGAAAACAGACCGGACACTCTTTGACATGAATCACAGTGATGCTGCTTTGGATCTGTCTTCTAAAACACAGGAAAGAAAAGCAAAGATAAACAAAAGGGAGCTAATTAAACTTAAAAAGCTTTTGCACAGCAAAGGAAACCATTGGCAGAACCAAAAAACAACCTACTGAAGGGGAGAAAACATTTGCAAATGGTAAAACCAGTCAGGGTCAGTATCCACCATGTATAACCAGCTCATACAATCCAACCTCAAGAAAACAAACAACCTGATTTAAAAATAGGCAGGAAAACTGAGCAGACATTCCAAAGATGGAAATGCAAATAGCCAACAGGCACCTGAAAAGATGGTCAACATCGCCAGTCATCGGGAAAATGCAGATCGAAGCCCCAAGGTGTCACCTCACACCCGCCAGAAGCCATCGTCAAGAACACAACACATGTGGGAGTCTGACCTTTGAAGAGTGTGACTCGCTGTCCTGTACACCTGTAACTTATTTTCAAAAAATTTTTTTAATCTAAAAAGATTTCTAATTCTAAGCTATTTCCAAATAAATATTTTAAGAGCGGTGGAGAATTCTGGTTGCATTTTAACATGGCTCATAATATCCCCGAGGGAGCGTATTGTGCTTCATGCGCAGGTTTTACTGCGAAACGTTTAGATCTGTGATTATGTCGGCACCTTACTCATATCTGAAGATATTTTAGAAAGATGGTATTTTTGTTAAAATTGGTCTTTTATTTCATTTATTGAAAAATACGTAGGGTGAGATATTGAATAAGAAATGTTCTTTGGGGGAAAAAGGTATTGATTAGTTCAACATGCAATTATTAGACACAGACCAGGCAGCAGACAGGCCACGCCCTGGGGAGCGTGAACTCGGGACATAGCTCTGCACTAGCTTCTGTGCCCGTGGAAGTGACTGTTGCGGGGGGAGGGATGCAGATGAATAAGGAAACGGCATATGGTCAGCTGCAAACTGTGCTGAGTTCTCGGAAGACAGGAGAGAGTGCTGGGGTAGGGCAGGTCATTTAAATGTGCGGGGGTGGCCAGGGGTGGCCTCTGCAGAAGTGGGGGCTGGGCCCCAGCAATGCAGGGGCGGCAGGGCTAGCGCTGGGGAGGTGGGACATCGGCAAATGCAGGGAGGGAGGGTCCTGCCTCTTCTGAGGCACTAAGTGGCCGGCTCAGCTGAGAGGCAGTTGGAGGGACACCTCAGAATAAAACCCAGCCGCCCACCACGGCCCACCAGGGCTGGGTCAGCAGCCCCCACCTACAGAGCCTATCTATGAGACGAAAGGCTGCCCCACCCCGAGGCCCATTTTCACTCTGCTTCCTATTTTTGAGTCATCCTTTGTCCCCGCCTTCAGTCAACCCTTCCTGTAAGTCTCCGCTCAGAGGCTCACTGCCCTGAAGACGCCTCCCCACTCCATATCCAGGTGAGCTCTGCCCCGCCTTGGCTTTCTGCAGAGCAGACAGCGCCATCACATGTGAGGCCAGGCAGGGCCACGCCCAATCCCCTGCTGGGTCCACGGGGAGCCCTGGTGGTGGGAGCCGGGTCACCCAGCGCTTAACTGAATTCCTACAACAGCCTTTTCCCAAGCCTAGGAAGTCACTGCTGCGAGGTCCAGCAGCCCGGCCCGCTTTCCCAGCCCCCCATCGGGACAAACAAGTGTTCCTGTCCTTGTCTTTGACCTGGACTTTGCAAGTGTCTGATTAAAAGTGTACAAATCTTGCAAAACCAGAGACAACTCTGTAGAAACCAGTGACAGCTCAGGGAGATGGGGCTCAGAGACAGTCCTGGCCTGGGAAGGATGGCAGGGCCCCCACCAGCCACAGCTGTCAGCAGAGAAGAATCAGAGACAGATGTCTTTACAGTTCACACTTACGTGTCCCTCTGCCCGAAACGGACCAAATGAAAACAAACCTTTGAGGGAAAAGCGTCCCCTTACCTCCACACTAAACCCGGGGCTGGCTGCCTCGGAGGAAACCTGGGAAATGCTGGCGAGACGAAACTTTAGGAAGAGACTGGAAGGTTTATCTCTGATTTTGCCATGAGCTACATGGCATTTTCAGAATCACAGCCATTAGAGGGTCGGAGGCCAGCATGGGGTGGGGAGGGGGACACAGAAAGTAAAAATGATTTCCCCAGCTAGGTCTCTCAGAAATGAATCAGCACAGGGTGAAGATCTTCTGAGCCGGCCCAGGAGGGTGGGGGGACAGGGTGGCAGGGGCCAGAACAGAGACGTATCACCAGGAACCCTGATGTCACAATGACTCTGTCACCCCAGCCCCACCCACAGAACATTCTGCACAGCACAGAAGGACATTCCAAGCAGTCACCTGCACAATTCTCAGCCACTTCTGTTTTCCCAGGACCGAACCAGATGCATGCAAGCCAGCCTCACATCCCAACCCAAGGCAGGTGCTGTGGACGGTCCTGAAAACAGAACCGACTACAGCAGGTGCTGCCGGACAGGTGGTCTGCACATGCGCGAGGCTGGGGCATCAGCACCACCTCCCCAGCCACATGGCCATCAGTCCTGGAAGGTCAGGGGACACACCCGTCACCGCGCACCTGGGTCCAACGGCACATCCATCCTCCGCTCAGGTCTCCCTGAAGCCGTGTTTACTCTCAGGCTTCTACTAATTCTTATAAGCACACACATTCTGTGCTGCCAGCCTTGAGATGCAGACAGAGGGCAATCTCAGTGTTACAGTTCAGCGCCGGACAGGCTCTGTGCTGGTTTTATGGACACGTTAATCAGTTCACAGGTAAAGCAGCGCTGCGTGGAGGGAGGATGTGAGTGACAGCCAGCGTGGGACAGACCTTTTAACTGAGCCCCTGATCCACACAGGGCTTTCTGAACAGGGAAGTCTGCTTTTCACCTAAGCTCCTTCATTTAACATCTTGGCGTCACGGGTCATCTGTATACATGTGTTATCTTCAGGGAATTCTCACCTCAGCGTGAGTACACTTTCCAATCTGTACCCTCAAGTGCACTGTTAACACGTTGCCACGAAATAATTCTCAATGGAGCCTGTAGATGAACTGGACCAGTGGGTCTCAAATTGTGCTCCCAAGACCAGCAACATCACTTGACCTCTTCTAAGCACGTGGCTAAGAAGACATACTGGGGAGGGAGGGACTTGCTCCCAGGCACTGCTGAGTCTTTAATAACCTTAAAACTTCCACTTATCATTCACTTTGGACTTAAGAGCAAGCTGAGAATAGAAATGCCTTTCGTGTGGTTCACCGAGCCTCCCAGGTGGACCCTGGATCGATTGCTGGTCATGCAGGTCTTCAAGCACCAATAATTTATGCATATATTTAACACTCTCTCTGCCCTCAAAGAGAGGTCACCTTGTTGGTTTCCTATCAAAGGCTGTATCATTCTTTCCTTCTTGTCTAGTAAATGGGTGTTTTTCTCTCCGTTTTGCTTCTTTAAGGAAGGTAGTCTTTTGTCCGGAGAAGTATTTCCTTTGCCAAAAAAACTTAGAGACAATGGGCTAAAGGCAGACTGTACCCCACTGATGAATATTTTCTGCTCTTATCTCAGAAAAGCGGCCTTTCAGTTTTCTCACTGCTGGGTCCCCCTCCCCACTTATCCAATACAGCCCGCTTTGCATCAAAATGGACTCACTGCCTATATGCAGGCCCCTCGCTGCCAACAGCTACTCTTTGTTTTTATACCAGTTTAGCTTTTGACTGGCGTTTTCGTACTCCTCTAAGTGTATCTGTGAAACAGTCACTCCCTAGGCTTAAAGCCAGTCCCTATGCGACATGATCAAATATTCTTGTTCCCCTTAGCCTTTGAAATAAACTTGCTTAAGTAAACAAAGAGAAATCAGTTGTCAGCCTCGGGACAGCCTGCGAAGTACCCCCTGCCGCATCTCCAAACGAGAGCGTTTACTGTCCACTAGGTGTGTGTGTGTTCTCTCTCCCCGCCTCCCAAAATGCATCTCCTGAAGTTAACGTAAATGCCTCAGAGGGCAGACTTTCAGAACACTGTTCCTGTCTTTCTCTGTCTTTTTGCCAAGTCATGCCTGGTGTGACTGAGCAACAATAAATAATCTTATATATATGTATACACACACACACACACACACACATCAGTTGACTGCTAGTGGTATAA